CAGTATTATATAAAAAAAAAAAATGCAAAAGTACATTTTTAAATTGATTTTAAAAAAGTAACGGAAAAGTAACGAAAAGTTATTTTTCAAGTAACGGTAACTGTAACGAGTTACTTTTAAAAAGCGATAACTGTAACTGTAACTAGTTACATTTTTTACTCGGTAACGAGTAACTGTAACTAGTTACTTTTAAAAAGTAACTTTCCATTCCCTGTGCTCCAGTTCCAGGTAGTGAGGAACTATTTATTTTTAATTGTATTGTATTACTGAAACAGAATGTTTATGTTAATAGTAAGGTTATACATATTTCAAATATGAGCAGGAGTTAACGAAATTCTAGATCAATCAAAAGAAGCCTGGGAAATTGATTTTGTTAATAATATTAAAAAGAGGAATTAAAGAAATCTTAAGATTGGTGGAAAAACTTGTTGCGAATATTAAGTCGTACGAAAGTAGTATAAACAAAAACTCATTAAAAGTCATTTATTTACAATTATTTTTGCTTTCGCGCCTGCGGCGGATAATAATTAAGACCGCATTATGCACAATAACAAAATATACAGCAGCGTTCACTTTTTCGGAGTTTGTGGCGTGCCGGTAGCCTTGAAAACTAATGGATTCGATACCCGAAATATACTAGGCAACATTGTGGCTAACGTTCCGAATACCTCCTCCGACATTCCCTGCAACCGATAAGAATGACGTGAGTGCAATCTTTCCCTTCCTCTTCTTTTTTTAATGTCAGTGGATCACGGCTTATCGCCGAACTCACTTTCGGCACGAGAAACTGCAAATTTTTCAGCTCAGCTCCACCCCAAGAGGCCATCTCGATCATGAAACCTTTGACGCACTTGAAAACTAACTCTGCCCGTTTTGTGCACCAGGCGACCGTCATGTCCTATAGCGGCACGTTGATTACTTATATTTTTGCCTAATTATCTAAGAATTATCCGTCTGAATTATCCAAGCGATAGATTACCTCTGACATTTCATGGACAAGCAGCACGGGTATTGTCAGCGTCGTCACATCGTTGCAACACGCGGTCTTCAAAATGTTTCGCAATCCCAAAATAGCGGGATGTCTCGAGTTGATGTCGCCTACAAAATCAATATTGTGCATTTAATTCCGTAATTCATTACACGGGAAATTTATAACCGCCAGTCACTTTTACCGGATCTCAGAGAATCGTCGACCACCATGTGGAACACCACGTGAACTTGCGCCAGATTGGAATGTCTCGTAATAAAAATGTCGCCTGTTTGCAGGCTCTTGCTCGTCGTTGACTTTTTCGCCTGTAAACAACGCAACACGGGTTTTGTATGCCGACGTTGTGTTAACCAGAAATTAAATATTTAATACTGTCGCCTACGTGGGAATCGCTTCCTTCTCTGTGATGCGCCTGCCTCCAGGCAACGGCATTCTTCACGTCTTCCCGAATCTTTTCCAATTGCTCATCGATAGGCGGGAAATGAAATTCCGTGGTTAATTGGCATACCGAACATAATTCTGCAATGGTACAGTATTCAAGTTTACAAGAGGCGGATAAAAATCGTCATAAAACAGTGACAGAATAATTTAAAAATCGTTGACGTAGTCTATCAGAAGGCACCTTTTGTTATTCCAGAATAACTGCCTAAATGGTTGTCGCTTAGGAGAACTAATCCGCAGAGATCGTTCGAGTATAGTCCTAACGCTGTTTGCAATCTTTGCGGCGTTGGATCTATCCTAAATATACAATATATTTTCATTATATTTTCCAATCGATCAAGAGAGAATATTAATAGAGAATATTAAGGAATCGATTCGATATATTTGATGCTTCAGTGAAAATTATTAGACATACCCAGATTCGCTGTTTTTCGCGCGGCAAAAGTCAAGCACATCTTCGGTTAATATGCGTATGTTGTGCATTTGTTTCATTTGAGATCCCAAATGTATGGTGAAGCTTTCTTCCAATAGAGGATAGTCCGTCGTTTGCCTCTCCTCGTTGTGAATGAAATTGTCTAAAGCTGGACGCAATGGCGGCAGCGGCACTACGGGTGAACCCCTATTACGTGGGAGGATGTAAATTTTTTTTTATCTCTCAATAAGATTAAACGTTTCTAAACTGATTAGCAAAATGCAAAAGAGAACCTACATTGGCGTGGATACCATACTAGTCTGTTGCTCTTC